GTGTGTGTGTGTGTGTGTGTGTGTGTGTGTGTGTGTGTGTGTGTGTGTGTGTGTGTGTGTGTGTGTGTGTTTGTGTGTGTTTGTGTGTGTTTGTGTGTGTGTGTGCGGAGTGACAGAATGCCCTGTCACCACCCTTTCTGTTTCTCAGCAGGGGGCTTGAGGCTTCTCATCAGGACTCAGGCCAACGAAGACGCCTGATGAGAAGTGTGATGCAATCCGGGACGCTGGATTGTGTACCTGCATCGGTTGTGCAATGTCCATTTGGCCCGTTGTTTCTCTCGCTGTGTGTGCTTTATGTTGGATTTGGTAACGTTTTCGATTCTAACGGAAAGCCATGCGTCTTGCAAGCCGAAAATTATTGTACTCGATTTTCCATCTGGAGTTCAAGATTAGCACTCTCCATCTGGAGTTCAAGTGTGTACACCCCATTCGTGGGGAATCCTCGGGTGTACCCATTGTGTGACCCCGGGCCGGCTCTGTCGGAAAATTTGACCTCAACGTGCTTATCATAGAACAGCGGAATTTCACATTTAACCAGGAACGAGGTTTCACTAAAGGGAAGACAGCCGTCAGATCATAGAGACGTCTCACCAGAGCTGCTGTTGGCTGCTGACTTGCACTTGCATTGACTTGCATTTTTCGCACTTGTTCCTCTCAAGATTGTGGACTTGCGGGTTTGCGTTTGCTGCGCCATCATGTCTCGACGTGATGATCGTGACAGATCTAGGACTCGGCGCAGACGTGATCGGAGCCCTTCCCCTCAAGCTCGCAAAGCACGCCGACGTGAACATGATGACAACCAGGTCTCGGAGGGCATGGATTGGAACAACCTGGTATCTTGGCAACACAATTCTGGCTACAACTCTGCCAACAATTTCCCGATGATACCCACCAATTTTCAATCGACTCACTTTCCCACACAGCAATTCCAACAACCTGCGATCAACTACATGATGCCGATCCCTCCTGACCCCGCACCAACGAAGTTCATGCCACCCGTGATGCCACCACCGGTCACTACTACCCAACCTACACCGCCACCTGGACCTCCTGCGGCTCTACCGGTTCGCCCTCAGAAAGCCTGGCTTACACCTTCGCCTGACTGGACACCTGGAGATGGCATGTTTGATGTCAATCAGCTCTACAACTTTAGCTTGCCCATGACCGTTGCCAACACACCGCATGGCAACCTGCGCGACATGTCAGGCATGGATATTCGGGACGTTCGCCTGGTTCAGGTTATCCATGGGGGCCTCACCAACTGGCTACTCCGACCGTTCGCTCACGGCAGATTCGTGACGTGGGAAGGCTTTCGCACTCGCACAGAGGCCTTACTTTGGAGTACCTGTTCCAAACTACTACGACGATCACAGTCGCTCAACCTGCTCGGATCAAGGTTCATGACCATTTGGCCAGTTTGGTACTTCAATTTCTTCAGCAACATCACACCTCTCTCACACCTTCTACCCAGACAGATGACATGGTCAAGAAGTACAATGATCTAAGTCGCGCGCACGAACTACTCCAAGCTCAGTATTCCGCATCGCTGCGCGCTTCGACCTCTCCCACGATGGCAAGCCAAAAAGATGATGCAGAGTTGGTTACACCGCCACCGGTCAACCACACACCATCCTCGTCGCCGGCCAGCTCCCTTCCTACAGCCAGCGCAGCGGCCCTTGATGGCAAGTCGTTTGATAGCGCGGTACAACCTCGGATCATTCAGTCTCTTCACGGAGTGTCGTCACCGCCGTCCAAGCCGGCGGCGTCACAATTGCTCACCATGCACAGCACGCCGGATGAAGTTGTCAAGTACTACACATGGACCAGTGACCAGCCTCGCCTTTATCTCAAGCAATCGCCCACAACCACGACTTTGGCGTCACTGGTCAAGTGGGCCAATCACCCGTCCCGGCTCAACGGCAACAAGTCATTAGATTCCATGGCGACGCAGCTCCTTCAAGCGCGTCAACGCATGCCGAAAGGCGACGCACCTACTCTCGGGGCGATGGCGGCTTCGTGGGGACTGGAACCCGGCTATCTTACCAAGCTCACTGAGAAGGCATTGAGTCACCTCATCGTGACCGCTCGCCTACTCAGCGGATAAGCAGGCATCTTAACGACCTTCGTTCTCTTATGAGCCCGGAGCGGCAACCATGTCACGGATGAGTCAAGGTGAAAACTCGTCCGTTATCTTTCTGCGTTGCATCAGTTTGACCTTGTGCTTGATCGTTCTTGCATTGCCTTGTGTGTGATTGTCTGTGCAGCTTGTATCCATGTCGCCGCCTTATGGTAGATTTCATTCGTTGCATTTTCAGCATGTTGGATGAGCTTCGCCGCTGTGGAATCTATGATGATGTTGCACAATGGCAGTCTCTGGACAACTTTTTACACTCGTTGACCATGTTCTCTACGTGCTGGCAATACTGCTTCCCTGGACTACCACCACCGTCGATACCAACTGATGAGTACGAATCAATCACACAACTACCGTGGTTGGGCCTCATTCTCGAAGTCTTAGTTGTGGTCCGGATTGCCCTTCAGATTCCGAATCACGCTATGTCACACTCTCAGCACACTGTGGCCAACAGGTATGAGATTCATAGATGTCGGTGCACTGCCTATTTATTGATCAGTTTCTTACAACGTCTCATTTCCCAAGATCATGGCTACTTTCCGCCGTTCTTTGAAGTCCTTCACTTCTACAAGGCTTCTCTCTTGTGTGAAATCATGCACTCCACTTTTGCCGACACGCGACATCTTCGCTCATTGCGGGCACGATTTCCTGACCTCTATGACTTCATACACGATCCAGGTCATCATCAACAACCGTGCGTC